TATGTGAAACCGAACGTCCTATTTATTTTCAAATATTCCGATTATTCCTGTTTCATTTTTGAAGCAAACAGAAATACGTTCTTTAAGTCAAACAAAATAACAACTTTTACCTTATTTTATGACCATCTGAACCCTCAGGCTTAAATATGTACGTATTCTTAACAGCAAAGATTCTAAGAATTTTACTACCATTAGAGATTTTTGTTACCATAACAAAGGAGAAAGTTGGAGCACTAGTGTTTACCAGTTAGTTAGTTTGTTTTAGTAGAGTTACTAAGCTGTTTTGCCGGGACAGTACCAACCAACCAATTATTTTACCGCTAAATTTGTCTTTTGTATATTGTATATATTTTATTCAATAAATAGTGATTATCTTTAATTAGACACATCACATTCGGAAATCATTGAAGTGACCCAATTTCCCATTAAGTTTACACTTTTAATAATTTACGAATGAAATTACTTACTTTTTGAGATATTTACAGGCTCACGTAATTAGGGATTGGTCTAATATTAAACCTGCTCCCGCAGTACCCAATTCGCTTGCATCCTCTGAAGAAATAAAGATCGTAGGAGGTAATGAAGCTGCACGAAACTCTTTACCATACCAAGTAAGCATTGAAAATAGTTGAAATGTTTGAAATTTGATCAAAATCTTGGGAGTTAATCGATATTGTATATAAAGGGTTTAATAGAAATAAGTGCCGAGCTTTGGAGGGTGTAAACTAGATGCTATAAATTATCGCACAAAGAGTACAACAGAGTGGTTAAGGGCAATAAGAAACTCAAAATAGTTTAAGATCCGAAGCCGGTCCTGTACGTGAGTTGGCAATATAGGGGTCTAGTGACGTAAAAACTCTGTAGCTATATAGATGGAGAATTGCCGTTTGTCTAATCGTAAGATTTTGGCATGTTGGCCACTTTATAGTTTGTTAGAGTTTTTGGAGGAGTTAATAACGAAAGAATAAACACTAAATAACAAGACAACAACACAACAATATATTTATAAACTTAACAAGGAAAGATGATCGGCGATAAAACTTATGAAGTGTATTAAGCAGTACCAGAAGGTAGGAAGACGGGATAATGACTGACTATGTTATCAAAAAGAAATTTTCAAAAAAATTGTGAAGAAGGGGCTAATAGTTGGTGGATGAAAGTAGGGTACTAATAGGGTAGCAATGAGATTGGAAAGTTATGAAGATGAGAAACACTTNAATGTCAATATACGAAATACTAGGAGATGGATTTAGACCCTAAACTATAATAAAGTTATTTGGACAGGGACATTTTAATTATTAACAAAATTTTGCCGGCTATAACGCTGCTTTGACACTAATACTTCATAATCGTAAACGGTTGATAATACATTTACAATTCGTTCGATATTTTCCCAATTTTATTCTCTTATTAGTTTTCTACATCAATCTATAAACATCCAGGACTTAAAACTCCCCCTTAACCAATTCTTCTAATAACTTCATTTCGAAAATACTACTTCAGTTATGTTTATTTATGTTTGCTCAGTGGTGTAAATTTTGAGTTAAAAGTGCAATTTTGAAGTTAAAAAAGAAAGGGTCATTTGGGATTATTTTGTTGATATTAACGATGCAAGTGCAAATTTTTACAACTTGTTTTATTATTCGGATATATTGATTTACAAAAAGATGAGAAATAACATTTTTCTAAGTTCCGATAAGCTTCCGTTACAAAAATGTGAGAATGTATGTGGAACTTCTGTAATTACGGAAGCGGAAGCGGAGATTTGTGCAACACTAATGTGCGTAGCTAAACTCGGGTTTTCTGATCATTATTCCTTATGTTTCGTCTGCAACTGCGACTGGCATTCACAAGGGTGGCGTGGTGGTCGTCTCGGTCGAAATTCTCTTAAAGGTCGTTCGGTGGTCGAAACGTCGGGAAGAAATTATTTTCACAAATAACAGCCAGAGAACTCGAGTTTAACTACGTAGAATATTAGGTGTTTAAAATGCACATGATAATGACAAATTTGTTTTTACCAGTATTATAATTATTAACATCAAAAATTTATTAGTTTTTAAAAGTAAATGTGAGTGTGTTAGGTCGTGGTTTCGCCGTTTGTGTTGGTAATGTCGTCCTAATTTCGATGTTTTCGGAGTCGATAGGCCTAAAAAAAATTTTGAAGTGAGCATTTTGTTATTTTATCTCTTACAAGTGTTCGCAAGTGAACCGTCATGCTCAGATCTGTGACGCTGAGTCAGACTTACTCGTCCCACTCGATATTTGAGGTGAGGCACTAAATCGTCTACAGGTACTCACCTGCAGTCGTCATCAGGTACGTTTTGCATGTTTAGTGTCTTTTGGTGGATATTATTTAAATATCAAGAAAACACTAATAATTTATAAAAATAACAATCGAAAACACAAGTAACAAAAAGGCAAAAGGAGTGAAACATACAAACGAGAACAAAGTGGCAAAAAGAACAAGATAATACAACAATAACAAAGACACCAACAAAAATGAAAACAATAATACATGCACTTATGAACGTTAGTAGAAGCGGTAGACGGGAGACTGTAATGATATGAAAAAAAAAAAAAACTTTTGGGGGTTTCATTCCCACCAGCCAGTAATGCTGGTGGGCGGGCAGTCCCTCCGGACTACGC